TACTGGCTAAGAGCTTAGTCTGAAGACTGTCACCTCCCCAACTCCACATGCCAATCGCAAATCACGGGTCCCTATGTTATCCACACTTCTGTCTGACTTGACTACAAGTCGGAGGTTCCCATGACCTACCTCTTCTTCAGTTTCAATGATTTGCTGTAATGGCTCACAGGACTCGGGGAAACACCATAGTTTACCAGTTTACTATAAAGGATATAAATGACAGCCAGATGAAGGGGTTCATGGAGTGAGGTCCGAAAGGATCCCAAGTGCAGGAGCCTCTGTCCCTTTGCACCACTCTGCTAGCATGTGGGTGTGTATGCCAACCCAGAAGCTCTTTGAACCCCACTGTTTAGGGTTTTTATGGAAATCCTGCTGTGTAGGTATGATTGACTAAATCATTAGGCCATTGGTGATTACCCAATTTCTAGCTCCTCTCCCCTCCCATGAGGTTGGTGGGTGGGGTTGAAAGTCCCCACCTTCTAGTCATGTGGTTGGTTCCCCCTAGCAACCAGCCAGGGTCACCCAAGAGTCACCTCCTTAGCATAAACTCAGGTATGATTGAAAGAGGCTTTTGAATAACTAAAGACACTCCCTTCACCCTTGTCAGGAAATTCCATGGGTTTAGTTTAGGAGTGTTGCCTGGAAGCTGGGACTAAGACCAAATATATAATTCTTTTTTTTTTTTTAAATTTTTATTTATTTATGATAGTCACAGAGAGAGAGAGGCAGAGACACAGGCAGAGGGAGAAGCAGGCTCCATGCACCGGGAGCCCGACGTGGGATTCGATCCCGGGTCTCCAGGATCGCGCCCCGGGCCAAAGGCAGGCGCCAAACCGCTGCGCCACCCAGGGATCCCCAAATATATAATTCTTATTATATCTTAATATTACAGTCCCCTAAACCCAGACCCTGGGATTGGACCCTCCAGTTATGGATTTTAGTTCTAGTCTTTCCACCTGCCTTTGTGCTGTAGGAATTGCCCCTAGGAACCTTAGCCCCTGGAGGGGAACGAGGCTGGGAACCTAAGGAGGGCTTCCATAGTGTGGTAGGCCGTGGGGTAAGGTGGGGCACCTTGGCAGGTAGCCCTTGGGAGATGTTTGTCCTGGCCCTGGGGCCAGGGTGGGCAGCCCCGGATTCCCCAGCCACCCTTCAGGGCACCCGCAGGTCCTGAGTGAATCTCTGTTCCAAATTGGAGCTCTGGTCACCCAGAGTTGAGTATACCCTCAAGACACCCCGCCCTCACAGTGCACACAGGGAAACTGAGTCAGGGTGGAGTGGGTAGAGACTTGCCAGCGTCATGAAGTCAGCCCTTGGCAGAAGTCCGCAGAATTCAAGGCTTAAGGCTGCCATGCAGGTGCCCTTCTGCTTCCTCTGCCCTCACTGGCAAACTTCTTAGATTTGTTTTCTACACCATTGTGGCCCTGGGCCTGGTGGGTGTGGTAGGCGCCGCAGGGGTTCAGTAAGTAGTTGTCAAGAGAATGGATTCCCCACCACGCCTCTACACCTCTGACCTCCAACCTGGGGGCCCCCATCTCCCCTCATGGCATCCCTGCCTCAGCCCTCGTGGCCATGCTCCCTGTATCTCAGGGGCCCTGAGACCTCAGGAATGTCAGCTGGCGGGAGCAGCTGGCTGTGCCGGGCCCGGTGTTCCACATGAAGGGAGCATCTGTTGGCTGGGGCTTCCAGGGCCGGGGCCACACCCAGCCGCGCTCCACGGCCGTTCCACGATCTGCGTGGACCATGACAGCCAAAGGTGTGCTGTTGCGCCTCTTTCAGGGACGTGCTGTCATAAGCAGCCACGTGCCCGCTGGATGTCCTGCTGTGTGGGGTGAACGGGACTCAGCCATGACGGGCTATGGCTGTGGTCCCGGTGTCCTTATCTTCCTGGTGTGTTACCCTCAGAGTTTACTGTGGTGCTTCCAGCTCCGGAACTTGGTCATTCCAGGAGACTCCAGGCCGGTGTGACTGGGTAGGAATTCCAAAATAGCCAGGTCTGAATTCTGAGAGAGCAGGTCTTCCGCATTTGGAAGCTCTGGATGCCTTCTTGTCCAAACGCGGCCCATTAGTCAGTCACGGGCCCCAGCAGAGAGGCTGGGAGCCCACAAGGCCACCCTCGGTCCTCTGGCCCTGCTTAGCGCCTGCCCAGGCGTCCTCTGTGACCTGTTGGTGGCACTCCACTGAATCTGTCCTCACCTTGCAGGGCTCTGCTTCATCTCCTTGCCTGGGCCTCTCTCAGGGGAATGATTCTCAGGGACACCTAATTGAAATAATGAAATTAATGCTAACAACAGCAGTGAATATGCATTGAGGGAGCCTGGAGTTCCAAGGGCTTTACGTGTATGAATTCATTAATCCTCACGACAGCTCTGAGGTGGGACAGTGTCCGTCACCCGCTGACTGTCCCTTATCTGGTGAGGAAGCCCTCTCCAAAGCCCTCGTACAGACCCCTCAGCAGGGTGTGGGGCCTTTCCTGAAACTACTCAGCTGTTGGACCCTCCACACAGCTGCCTCCCTCTTCAGCCTTTGCTCCTCTCTTAGGAATTACATTCACTGTGTATACTTCCTCTGCCCACCTGGTAAATGTGGGGTTCCCTGGGGCTCCCATCTCCATGCCCTTCTCACTTCATGCCCTCCCCCTGGAGGAACCACTGTCCCAAGGCCTCATCCCCTCCCCATGTGCCGTAGGGGGGGCAGCGCTGGGTCTTGGGGGCCACATTAAGGACTTGAGGTGGTAGGTCCTCTGACAGATATGCTCTGCTGGGGGTGGGCTGTACGACCTGACCAGATCTTCCTTTCGAAAAGATCATCATCATAGCCTTGTGGGGTTGAGTGAGGTGACCATGGTCCCGTTGAGAGGATGGCTTACCCCTTAACTAGACAGGGGTGGGAAAATAGAGAATAGGCCATGGATTCCACAAGTGTTTGGAGGTCAAACCAGCAGGACATAGTGACCAGTCGGATATGGACAAGGAGAAGGAGACATAGTAAGGGCAGTCTGTTACCAGAACCCAACTTTGGCTGCCCTTTGTTTGAAAAGCCAATTCTCCAGGGACAATAACGATTTATTTTATAAACAATAAACGATTTAATTAATTAGAGAGAGAGGCAGAGCACAAGTAGGAGCAAGGGTTGAAGAAGAGGGAGAGGGACAGGGACAAGAAGACTCCCCGCTGAGCAGGGAGCCCAACACAGGGCTCCATCCCAGGACTCCAGGATCATGACCTGAGCCAAAGGCAGACCCTTAACCAAATGAGCCACCCAGGCACCCCAAGAGATGAGTTTTGATTGGAAAAGAGTACAAGCTTTATTCAGAAGGCTGGCTACCCGGAGAGAAGGCAAACTTGCCCCAAGGCCGAGTCCGAGGTTCCTGCCCGGCCCAGAGACTTTTTAAAAGGGTTGTAGGCAGTGAGTTAGTTAAGGGAGTGCAGTGGTCTGTAACATTACTTGGTTTCGTGCACGCTACAGATGCCACCTACAGACACTACTGGGACGTGCGGAGGTCGTACAGGAGGATCTGGTGCCTGGTGCGGAAGGGGCTGTGTCCTTTTCTAGGAAAGAATGCATCATCTATAGATCTACAAAGAAAGGTTTAGTTAATCACGTGGGCTAAGGGTGCTTGCTAAAGCTGCAAGACTGCTAGGTTGGCCAGAGGGGCTGAGGTGGCTTCAAGTCTAAGTGTCCAGCCGCGACGGGAAGTCAGGTTTTATTTATTTTATTTTATTTTTTATTTTTTTTGGAAGTCAGGTTTTAGTGAGAGATGCCGAACTGAGTCCTGGATGGGCTGGGTTGGGATTCCCTTGGGCCTTTCATGTGGGGCTCTCCAGCCACAGGAGGCTGTTTTCAGGGAGTGCGGGTCTCAGGATTGGGGGTTGTCTGAGTGTAGCTCTGTCCCTAAGTCCATGAGCCGGTGATCTTGTCCCAGGTGAGAGGGGTGAGGCCCCAGGGGCCAGACAGCCACCAGCACTGCGTTTAGTCAGGGTGGGCAAGACATGCCTTGTGGTGGCCAAAGCTGGTGGCCAGAGGCATTTCAGCAGAGAGGAGGGCTAGTCAGAGGAAGGGGTAGGGTGTGAAGGCAGGTGAGGAAGTGGCTGTGGGAGTACAGAGAGCTCCCAGGAGAGCTGGCGAGGGCTGGAAGGAGAGAGTGGAAGGTAGGCAGAGGGGCAGGAGGCTCCGCTGAGCCCCCAAATTAATGCCTGGTCAGCAAGCTTGTCATCTTTCTCTTGCTCCCAGCAGTGCATGTCCAGCAAGGCACTCCGTCTTGATGATTCCTAAGCACCACCCCACCCCGTCTGTCCTACCCCCCAGTCTGTCCCACCCCTCAGCCAGCCCTCAGCATTCACCTGAGCTGGGTCTGTGCCACCACCACACTGGCCTTTTCTGTCTCTGGGCGCTGTGTCCTTTCACAGTCCTGGGCCATGGCTGTGCTGGCCTCTGCCTGGCTGGCTTTCCCCTCTTCCCTGTCTGGCTGGCCAGTGGCCGCTCCTCTCCCAAGTCTCAGAACCTTACCATCCGGAAGGCAGGTGCAGCCCTGGAGCAGCACCCTTAAGCCAGCCGGCTCCTGGCCCCCCCCTCAGGGACAGGGAGGGCCCACCGAGGAGGCCGAGTCGAAGCTGGACCCCTTAGCGATGGTGGCGGCTGGAAGGACTAGGGGGAGCTGGTGTGGGGTGCTACACAGACCCCCAGCATCTCATGCTTAGTGATCCCATATTGGCCTGCTTCTCCCTGCCCTGCAATCCTGCCAGCACCGTGGGGGTGGTGTGAGGTGTAAAATCAGGTGAGTGCTCCCTCCCCACCTTGGGAGCTCCTGGAATGACTCAGCTCCTCTGTGAGGGGTCTTCCAGGGATGAGGCCGAGCCCTGCCTCACACAGTGAGCCTCACCTTCCCTCCGGAACAGTGTGCCCTCCCCCTGCAAGGGCATGGCTCCCAAGGGTATGTGTGTGGTGTGTGTGCATGTGTGGGGCTGGGCCGCCTCTCACCATGGTGGTGCTCTTCTGCACAGGCTGCCCTGGAATGTGGGACAACCTCACGTGTTGGAAGCCTGCCCGTGTGGGTGAGATGGTCCTGGTCAGCTGCCCTGAACTCTTCCGAATCTTCAACCCAGACCAAGGTGAGTTTCTCCCTGGGGTCTCCCTAGGCCATGATTGGTCTAGCCTGTTCCTTACACTTGAGGCCCAGGCCTTTCTGGGACACAGGTACCAAGGACCTGGGGTACCCTGCAAGCCAATATTCCCTGTTCCAGAGCTCCCATGCTAGTGGGAGCATGAAGCTACAGACCCTGGTACACACAGGTTGACGTGGAGATGTGCCACATTGTGCTGTTGTGTGTGAGGCCAGGCTGTGCTCTTGGAGGTGTCCACATCCATCACTTACCCAGGTTGGACCTTGAACAAGGCAATTCCCCCTCCGTCCCCTGCCCGCATTTCCTGCTCTGTCAAATGGCAATGTGGCATGGTGACTGGGGAATCGAGTGGAGGAACACACGTGGTAGCCCAGGCCTTGGCACGTACTCACGGTCAATAGTGTTAGCTGGTGTCACTATCACCACACAGGGATGCTCAGAGGCCCAGAGACACACCCAGATATGGACACACAATGAGTCGCCCTCAGCCAGCTGGACACGAGGCACTCCTGTCCATTCCCACATACCCACTTAGATACTAGGTATGGTATCACAAAGAGCTCAGTTTCGGACATGTCTGTATTTGAGGTCTTGGCCATTGTTGAGCTTGTGGAAATTATCAGGGGCCCCAGACAATCTGAGAGTCCTAGAAGTGGGCTGTGGCTGAGGTTCCTAACTCAGGATGTAGGAACAGGGAGAGAAAGGGCCAGAAGGGGGCGGACAGTGCTCTGTGACAAGGACAGGGCCTTAATGACTGCATCTGCCAGGGGAGGGGTCTGAGGAAGAGGGCTTCATGCAGATCTCTTCTTTGGGTATGAGTCTGCTGGGCTTTCTAGGCCAGTTCCCACCTTTCAGCTGGGACCTTGTAGAGTCTTAAGGCTGCTCTCCAGCCCATCCGCCCTGCCTCTGGGAAGGGTCTAGAGCTAGCTCCTGCTCCTCCACCCCACTCCTTGTGGCTGTTGAGGGAAGCAGGACACCAAGTTCACTGGGGCTGGGCTCCAGGCAGGTGATGTCCTAAGAGCTGGCCCACTCACTGCTGAGCCTTGGGCTGGGGCCTTGTTGAGAGGAGGGTGGAGGGCAGGGACTCTTGAGGGGATTAGAGGCATCTGACTCACTTGTGTGGTCATACACAGCACCTTGCGACCTGGTCCTCAGCTTCCTCTTTCACCTGCCTAAGCCTTAGGTCAGTGTCCTTCTGGAACTGGAGCGCTTCTGAGCTCCACTCCAGTAGGAGTCCTGCCTATCTCCTTCCTCCCACTTGTCTGCAAGAGACAGAGGCACCTTCTCTTTGTCTTCTGGAACCCCAGCACCCGTGACTCTGCCTGGAGGGGCAGGTGCTTGTGGGAATTGGCAGAGGGGATAGTAGCCGTATGGGGGTGTGCATGGCCCCACGCAAAGACCAGGGAAAGCAGCTGCCCTGCCTCCCCTCCCCTCACTTCCCCTTCTGGGCTTTTAGCCACACCTCCCATCTCTGGACTGGACCTGCCAGCCCAAAAGGAGGGTGGCTTGAGGCTCTCCCATCCTGACACCTGGGGGCCTGGGCATGCCCCAGCACCAGACAGGAAGTGAATTTGGAAGAGGAGGCGAACTGGGGAAGTGCTGGGGTGTGGGGTACAGTGTGTATGGTGGGCATCAGGTGCTGTGGCAGCCAATGACTCAGCCACCTCGCTGCCGCATTCCTATGGAAACCGCCTTCCTCATTTCCTCCATTCACATACTCCCCTCATTCATCATTTACCTGAGGTTTCTTGCACGTCTGCTTTGGGGCAGGTACCGTGGCAAGACTGCTGCTTTTCAACAACAACAAAAAGAGGCAAAATGAATCAGCAGTGAACTAAGATTTTAAGAAAGGCTTTCCTTCACACTCCGTCCCTCCCTCTGGCAACTGCACTGTGAACATGAACGGCTAATTTACACCTGATTCTTAATGGCTCATTAAGGCAGGGCCCTTTAGCATCTGTGTTCACAAAGCTGGATTAGTGAGATTCACCTTACCTACTTAGAAAGTTGAGAATGGCATTTCTCAGTCTATTTCCTGGCACCAGGGGCCGAATCTGTTTGCTGCGGTCATTGCTTTGCAGGCTTCTGAAGACATAGGGACGTTGATCTGTCCTCCCCCTCGCAGATGCTTGGCTCATCTCTCCTTAACTGGGTCCCATTCTGGAGGGAGACGTAGAAGTCTCCGGTGTCTGGTCCACCCCCAGCCTGTAGTCCTCACACCCCTGGGTCCCCAGCAGAGTTTGGGAGTGGGGAGTGGTGGGGGGGCCCCAGTGAGAGCAGACCCAACTTTTGCTCCCTCATTCACCTCTGTGTTCTCTCTCTTTCTCTGTTTCAGTGTGGGAGCTAGAAACCATTGGTAAGAGGAACCTTGGAGAGGACAAGGCTGCTGATCATCTGTCCATGTGTCCATCCAGTGGGAACCCAGTTCTGACTGCTGGGAATGGTGTGGGTGGAATGAGAGGCTCCTCCGGGACCAGATTCTCCCTTTACCACCTGCCCTTAGCCATCCGGGGAGGTGGGGGACACAGGCAGATGGGGGACACAGCCCTTGGCCTTGAGGTGCTCATGGGCTGATCTGGGAGGATGAGATACACCCGTGGAGGGCATCGTACAGGCCTGAATGTGTGTGTGAACCCACATAGATACCGACATGCTCGGTGGCCTTGGCCTTGGGATTGAGAGCGAGAGAAACCTAACTGCAGCGTGCAGCCAGGGTAATGAAAAGGTCGGGGGGTGGCATGTCAGCTACGTGTTGGAAACAAGATTTTGAGAACTGGAAAGGAAATGAGGGTTCGTTGCTAGCAGGGGGCTCATCTTAAGAAAATGATGAAGGCGGAATAAAGAGTCAGGAGAGAGGAAAAAATGTCTGCGGACGAAGTCCTGGGCTCCCTTGGATGAGACAGGTTTGGGGCTGAGATGGAGGCGTGTGGACCAAGAAGAAACCCAAGTCCAGGACCCATGTTCCTCTTCCTGCTTCTTTCTGGAAAAGGCCTAGTCATCTTTTTCCATTCCTCTCCCCGTCCGAAGGCCCTCCCACCTTCCTGACTCTATCCCATTTCCACTTCCTGTGGCCCAGTGGGGAGAACTGAGTCATGGGCCAACATTAGCATCACAGAAGTACAAAGCAAAAGGGATTGATGCCCAAAGGCACAGTGTGTCAGAGATGTGTGTGGCTGCCCTGGGTGCTGCAGCCTTTTGGCCGAGACCCCCACCCCTATCCTCAGGACCAGGGATGGCCTTGGCCTTCCAGGGTAGAGAGTAAACCTTGCACAGCTCTGGCATGCTGATGGCTGTGTACTGACTCCTGCCCACTTCTGTGCTTTGCAGATCGAGAGTTCGATTTCCCTGACACTAACTCCTTGGATCTCTCAGGTGAGGGGATAAACCAGGTCCCACCACAGGCTGGCCAGAGGGAGGGCATCCACCGACACGTGAAGTTGGGGAGCACCCCCGTTCCAGGCCTGGCATCCTTTCTGTGGCTATGTGATCGTTGGCAGGTCCTTTTCCTTCTCTGGAAGAGCCGAGGATTTTCTCTGCAGAAACTTGCACTCACGTGTTCAGATAGAATATTGTGTGCACAGATCTCCCGAAGTCACACTGTGGGCTCCAAGCACAGATCCCCTCGGTTAGGCGGTTCCAGATAGTTTGGGACTCCCATGGGTGCCAGTGGTGGTTCTCAGGCTTCCACTGTGACCACCGTCACCTAGTGGGCTTGTTAACACTCGGATTCCTGGACCCCACCCCCGGAGTCTCTGAGGTCGGGCCTGAGAATGTGCGTGTCTAGCCAGTCTTCCCAGTGATGCTGATGGGCTAGCCTGGGGGGAGAACCAGTTTTGAGAACCAGTGCCCTAGAATCCTATGCGCCTATGAAATTGCTGGGGCAAAAGAGTCTAGTGAAGTGGGCGCAGTCACTGCAAGGTTTTGACAGTCTAGAGAGTACTCCATCTTCTGGAGATTTCCATCAGAACAATACAGTGGCAAATTTGTGGAATAGTTCTGAACAAAAAGATTTATACGCCTCTATGCCCACACTGTCTTATAAAAAGAAACGGAGAAAGGGGGAAAATAAAAGAAAGGAAATGGCTTTCACCTCTAGGACCCTTTTTTAAAAATTGCTTTTCAAAGCAGCTTCCCTTTCCTCTTCCCACCACTCTGATGTGGGCAAAGCAGAGAGGAGATGAGGCTCAGGAACAGGAAGGGTCTTGGCCAAAGCCATGATTTCCCCCTGGGGCATGCATATTTTCAGAGGGATTTGGAAGGAGGGTGCCAGTAACAGCCTGACGTGGATTTGTTGGAAACAGGAAGAATTTGGCATCAAAATGTGGGACAAAGGGACTCCTCTCCCTGGGCCTGCCCGGTGTCCTCTGTGTCCTATGTCACAGGACTCTGAATTGGAGAAGTGATGGAGACCAGTAGTCTCCCACTCTGGGCAGAGCTGTCTTCTGTGGCAGGGTCACCTACCCTCTGCTTCTTCCCAGAGTTCCAGGAAGTGTGTTTCTGACTCTATTGGTAAAAAAGAATTGGCCTGGGATCTTCCAACTCAAGGCGAGGATGCAAGATTGGGAAAGTAGAAGGGTTTCCTGTCTTGGCCTCTGCCCTTGCCTCCTTCCTGACCTCCCCAAAGGTGGCCTTGGTTGGAGCTAGAGGAACCTTCCAGCAACATGGGTGCTGGAGGAGCCCCTTTCCTTCAGATGTGTCCCGTCATACACAATTTCCTGGGCCCTGAATCCTGAGAAAGAGCGAACCATTCCCAATTGTCCTACTATGCCAGGTGAACTCCCAGGAAGCCAGTCTGCGAACAGGGGTCAGCCTGGGCCGGAGTCAGGGGAGCTGCTTGCCTTCTCCCCTCCACGGGACGTCCGTGGTTCACCCTTATAGACAGTCAGGAGAGGGGAAGATGAAATGAGCAATCATTAAAGGCTAAAAGGCCCCAGGCGGGGCAAAAACCAATCTAGATTCCACTCTGCAGACAGTAAAGGACTCCCTCCCCTTTGGTGTCCTACAAAATGGCCTTTAAAGTCTATCAAAAGGAAATTAAAGTACATTAGTGACAGGAAACAGACCTCTAAACCTGGGAAGACAAAAGTTTTTTTTTTTTTTTTAAACCTAAATGCACATCTTAATAAGATCTGGCGCTAGGTTAATGGAGGTCTGGTCCTTGTTAATCAAGCAAGCCATGTATCCCCCGGGTGGGGGATCTTGCAGCTGCTGGAAGGCGCAGAGCTCCTGGGGGGACGACGACGGGCACTCCTGCTCCGTGGTCACCTCAGGTGATTCCTGGGCCAGGATCTGGGGGCTGGAGTCTGCAGTGGTGATCTCACATCATTCTTTTCTGCTCACTGACGTCTGGCAAGCGCTGAGCCAGAGCCAGGGGAGGGGCTCAGGCCTTTCCTTGGTGAGCATTTGCCAGTTCCAGAAGAGAGGGAGACTCGGTCCCCTCAGCCCTTGTTAAGAGATCAGTGGTGCCTTGTCCTCCCCGGTGTCCTTTGTGTAAAGGCTGAGCTTGAAGTCACCGGCATGGACTGTTTTCCCTAAGACAGTGGAAAATTTTGTGAACCTGTAGTCACTGTGCTTCCCAGATGGGCATATGGGTTTCTAGAAATTCCCACTTAAGAAGTAATTTTCAAGTAAGAGTTTCAGGGTCCTCTTAAGTCTTTCCCATGCCTCACTGAGATTTTGTTCTACCGCAGACATGAGGGTGGTGAGCCGGAACTGCACCGAGGACGGGTGGTCAGAGCCGTTCCCTCACTATGTAGACGCCTGTGGGTTTGATGAATACGATGAATATGAGCCTGGGGACCAGGTGAGTGTCCGCCCCCACCTGGGGGTGTGGCTTAGGAGGCCCGTGACAGCATGTCCCCACGACAGGCCTTGGCTTCTGTTGGGACTCTAGGATCCTAGGCAGCAAATGAGCACCTGCTGTATACCCAAGCCAGACACACAGGGGGCAAGGCCTTCATTCACTCATTCTGGGCCAAGAAGCATCTGCTTTGCTGCCCAAGTTCCTCCAGCCCCCACTACATGTCCCCTACCTCCCTGGGTATCCTTCCAAGATGCTTGTCTTTTCTGTGGCCAGAAACGAGAAAGTTGAGGCCAGGCCCAGCAGGGAGGGCCTCCTGGATACTTCACCGGGCTGAGGCTGGTGTCTGTCCTGATTGGTCAGTGCCCCTGCATTCAGCAAGCATTTACTGAGCCTCTGCAGAGCACAGACACTGAGGGGGCAGTAAGAAGCTCATGGGGGGTGGGGTGGAGGGAGCAGGGTAGTAGAGGCACTGACAGGGAGAGCAAGACCAAGACGTGAGATCAGCAAGAGGGGAAGAAAGGAAGGAGGGGCTGGGTGCTGGGCCCCTGGGGTGGGCAGGCCCTGGCCTCGGGGAGCTGGGGGCTGGGGTAAGCCCCATGTGGGGCCCTGGATGTTTTGTGCTTTCCTCCAGGATTATTACTACCTGTCAGTCAAGGCTTTGTACACAGTTGGCTATAGCACATCCCTTGTCACCCTCACCACTGCCATGGTCATCCTGTGTCGTTTCCGGTAAGGATCCCTCTCTTCCCAACCAGCAGCATTTGAGCTAAGGCAGCCCACCCTAGCTTGGAGCCCATGTCCTGTCCCACCCACCCCTGCCCTCTCCTCTGAATGTCAGCCCTGGAGGTCCCTTAGAAGGCATGTTGCCCACCCCTACAATAACAGATGGGGAACTTGATCTGAGAAAGGGCATCTGACATGTCCGGGGCCATGCAGTGAGGTAGATGCTGGGCAGGAGACCTCCGTTCCCCACTTCTATCTTCCTGGTCCAGATGGACAGAGGTCACAGGAAGGGAAAGTCTGGCCTCCTGGAATAGTGGAGTCAGGCAACAAAGGCCTGGAAAGGAGGTGGGAAGGTGGGGACCCGCCTGAGACAGAGCCTGGAGTTGGCCCAGAGCAGCCCTTGGAGAGGAGGGGTGGGATGCTGTGGGGTTCCTCGCCTCAAGCCTCGTCCTCCCCCTGCCCCCCACCTGCTGGCCTAGGAAGCTACATTGCACCCGCAATTTCATCCACATGAACCTGTTCGTGTCCTTCATGCTGAGGGCCATCTCTGTCTTCATCAAAGACTGGATCCTCTACGCGGAGCAGGACAGCAACCACTGCTTTGTCTCCACCGTGAGTGAGCTGAACCCTGGTGGGAAAGGCCTTCCAGGGGTCCCTTGTTGTGACACCTCGCCAGCCAGGTGTTTCCCTGCAGGCTAAGGCATTGTCCCCAGTGAACGCAGAAATCCAGGAATGGCCATGAGGTTGCTAGTAACCAGCGGGACCATTGCTTGATGTCATTTCCTGCCTCTCAGTCTGTGTGTGCACTTGGCAGAGCAGATGCAGAACGTGGAGAGGGAACGCCTCTCTCGCTTGTCTGCAAAGGAAACTAGGCTTAGAGCGAGGCTTGCCTGGCCCCTGGTCATTTAACGAACCTGTGACAGAGCTGAGGGGCTGCTTGGCTTGGGTCTCTCCAGACCGTCTCCCCAGTTCTTAGACCTTTGGAGGTAAGCAGACACGATAGGTTTTAATGGAATAAAATGGAAAGAACAGCCCAGAGCACAGGACTTTGACCCAGGAGGGCACACATGGCAGGGGCGGGGGGAGCTGTCGGAGATTTCTGGGGACCAGGAATCTCCGCATTGATGTCTAAAACCTTTATTTGACTAAGGAGTCTCCTGTGGGGGTGTCTACTCCCCTTACTCCCCTCTCTGAGGGGCTGGAGAAGGAGCAGGAAACTAGGGGGTGAATGAGCCTGGGGAGGTAGAGGGCCCTGTGCTCACCCCACCCCCATCCTTTCCTGACAAATGTAGAGTTGCCTCCGTGGGCAACTCAGAATCCTAGGATGCTGCCGTTTTTAACTCTTCAAATCCAGGAATGTTGAGTCTTTCAATCCATGGGATGTTTGAGCACAAGCATGCTGGAGCTGAAGGGCCCTCAGGATTCTCCTCGGTTCTGCTGGCCTCGATTTTTCAGGGCCGGGTGGGGGCCAGCAGAGGGGGCTTCATGCTTCCCTCGGTCTCCCCACCCTCTTTGCAGGTGGAATGCAAGGCCATCATGGTTTTCTTCCACTACTGTGTCGTGTCGAACTACTTCTGGCTGTTCATCGAGGGTCTGTACCTCTTCACCCTGCTAGTGGAGACCTTCTTCCCTGAGAGGAGATACTTCTACTGGTACACCATTATAGGCTGGGGTAGGTCGCTGGCTGTGGCCTGGACAGGCTCAGGCCTCACGGCCAGGTATGTTCTTGGTCCCGCTGTCAGAGGGTGTTAGGTCAGAGGAGGGAGGTGCTGTCATTGTCCCGCAGCTGATGTCTGGTTCTTGGTTCCTTTCTTGTTCTTCCTGCCCATAGAAAGCCCATAGAAGTTGGAAGATGATATGTTCAGCTGAAGTTCTTCTGAGAAGTGAGATAGCCAAGGGACTGGGGGATACATGGACCCCCAGGAGGCCCCACTGTGAGGGACAGTTAGGGTCCCCAAGACTCCAGGTCTGAAAGGGAGACCTGCCCCATGATTAGGACCCCCTGTTTGAGTGGTGATAATGGGCCCTGGGAGCCCCAAATCTGAGGGGACCCCAGGGCCTCTTGGCTTTCTTGTTATCACCAGGCTCCTTTTCTTGTCTTCCCAGGGACCCCAACTGTGTGTGTGTCTGTGTGGGCAATGCTGAGGCTCTACTTTGATGATACAGGGTGAGTACATGCTCAAGAGCCAGGGCCAGAGCCCTGAGTAGGTTCTTACAGATGGGTCTCAGTGGCTGCCCTGACTTCACATTAACTACCAGACTGTACCCCCATCCTTAGTCCTGACTGCACCCTGATCCCACTGTCATGGACCTGCCCAGTCACAGCTCAGCCAGAACTTAGTGACAACGTGCAAGGTTTCAGAGTCCCTTTCCACTTCTGGGCTCAGCTCTGAGTGTCTATTTTTCTTTTGGGGGAGAGAGGAAGAATATTGAGGATGAGGTCACCTCCCCACCCCCACAAGCCTGAAGGGGAAACATGGCCATTTGCTCAGGAACCCATTGGTGATTCTTACTCTTGGGCTCCACTCGCTGCCTTGATGGGGAGCAGAGGGAAAGACCAAGGCACTAGAAGAACCGAAACTGGGCTTGGGTCTGCAGGATGCCTGAAAACTCTTTCCAGCCAGCCCCTCCTCAGAGAGCTGCAAGGGAAAAGTGCCAAATGGGGCCGGGGGCATTGGCTTGCAGGCATCCCAGCCCTGAGCTTAATCTCTCTTCTTTCTGTCTGTCTTTCAGCTGCTGGGATATGAATGACAACACAGCTCTGTGGTGGGTGATCAAAGGGCCTGTGGTCGGCTCCATAATGGTGAGTATCCTTGGGACAAGGCTGGGAAAGAGACATGAGCCTGGGCTGAAAGCAGGAAAAGGGAACAAATTCAGAAGTCACTGCACAAACTGGCCTCCACCTTTTTCGTGGCTGCATTATATTCTGCAACATGGGCATATAAGTTATGTGCTAGTCCACTAGTGTTAGACATTTATATTTTCTTTTTTTTTCTCGTAATAAAGGATGCTACTAGGAGCAATTCTGTGTGTAATTTTGAGCACGAGCATTCCTTTAGACTAAATCTCTAGAAATGGAATTGCTGGGTTGGAAAGAGTACCTCTCATCATTGTCTGTGCTTGTAATGTAAATCATTTAAATTTTTGCACAGGCTCCTAGGGGATGATGGTAGCTCATTGTTTTAATGTGAATTTCTCCATATTGCTAGTGCAGTGAGGTATTTTTTTCTCCCAAACACTTATTGGCAATTTGTTTTTATTCTGGTTATTACCTGTTTATTTCTCTCGCTCATTTTCTCTTTTGCTTGCTTTGCTCACTTGTCTTTCTAATTGTTTGAAAGGTAGTAACGCTTTATCTGGTAAACATGTTGTAAGTGTATTTCCAAGTCTGCATAATTTTAGACAAACTGTCACGGTTTGTCTTCCTAAATTCTGAAATTTCTTTCTTATGACGGAAGCCTTTTCCCATCCTAAGTATTTGTAGTTGTTTTATGACATTTTTATGGGGTGGATTATTATATATATGTTCTGAATCTGAATAAAGCTAAAGCTTTATTTCTTTGTCTGATCTGAAATGTTATCTAATCTTCTTTAGTTTTTTTTTTCCCTACCAGTGGATAGACATTCCACCCTCCCAGTTCTTTTTATTAAATAGACCACTGTTTCCCAGTTATGTTGAAATGTCACTTTATCATGAACATTCTGTGTACTCTACTTGTATTCTATGCTATGTTACTAATCTATTTGACTGTTTCCACGGTGAATGCCCCCTTGTGCTGGTTGCTATAACCTGGTAGCAGGTTTTGGTATTTGTTATGTTAATATTCTTCATTCTTTTTTTCTTCAAGATTTTATCATATATTCACACTTTGAGGTGAACTGTCAAATAGCCTTATCAGGTTGCAAAAAAAAAAAAAAACAAGTGTGGTTGAGATTTTTAGAGAAATGGCATTAATTTTATGAATTAATTTGGAGAAGTGATTTTCTTAAAATATGGAGTCTTCCTCTCCAAGAACATGGCCCGATTCTCCATTTATGCAGCCTTTTCCATAGAGTCATTTGTACAGCTTTTCAGTTGCCTTGTTCAGTTTACCTTTAGGGTATTTTCTGTTTGGGTTTGTATTGTGTCTGGGACTCATGCCGTCATTCTGTGTTCTAGTGGGTTCTGTTCGTTTCTGTGTATTTTTTCTTGGTTACCTTTCTAAACTCTCATAGTAGCTCTTGTTGCTTTTCAGTTGGTTTTATGGTTTTATAGGTAGAAAATGACATAATCTTTATATGAAAATAGTTTCACTCTTTCCAGTCTTTATACTGTTGATTCCTTGATTTTGACTAGGATGGTGTTTGCTATTTAGTTTTAGTTAGTCTTCATTGAATTAGGAGAGTTTCTATTCCCGGCTCGTTTTAGTGTATATTTTTTCAAAATTATGATATCAAATGTTTTGGAAACATTTATTGGAATGATCCCTTCCCTTAGTGATGAGCTTTTATAATATTCCAAATTTTCTTCTTATGAACAATGCTATAATGGATATATTCATGCACATGAGTAAGTCTTTAGAATAAATCTCTAGGAATGGAATTTCCAGGACAAAGGGTATGTACCTTTAACATTTTCATAGATATCAAATGAGCAGAAACAATAATGCTCATTTCTCATGTCTTTGTTGATATTTTGATGATTGAACTATTCACCAATCTTATGGGGGATAAGGGCAGCTTATTGTTTTTAATCTGTTAATGTAAGAAATATTAGCAGATCTGAGTTTTTTAAGGTTTTGTTTGTTGTTGTTGTTTTCATTTCTCATATAAAACTTTTTTTTTGGCCGTGACCTGTTTGTTCTTTTAATGTACTGCTAAATTCTATTTGTTAATATTTTGTTTATAGTTTTTGCATTGTTCTGTGTAAGTTCTCTGGTTTTGGGTGTGCGTGTATCTATTTGTATACTTCTTTTATTGTCTGGGATTTGTAGCAGAGTTTTGTTAGCCTAATAAGTAATTTGTGAGGTCTTCTTTTTACGTGCTCTTAAATAATGAAGTAGGCTATAAATGACATCTTCCCTAAAGGTGTTATGGAACTGGTCTGTAAAGTTATCTGGGCCTGATGCCTTTTAACGCATACATCTTTGATAACTCTTTAACTTTCTCCTGAGGTCGTTGCTCTACTCAGATTTTCTACGGCTTCTTGATTTGATTTTGTTTATTTCTGTTTTCCAATTTTGTTTGATTTTTCTCTTATGCTGTAAAATATCCTGTACATCTGTTGTCTTGTCCTCCTTCTTATCCCTAAATTTGCTTAATTTTATTTTCTCCTTTTGAATCGACTAACCTACACAGTGAGCAGTATGTACTGTGCAGAATTTCTGGTGGTGTTCAGGCACTGGGCTTGTATTGGAGAAGAAGACTGAGAGAACTCTGCCTTCGTAGAACATGTGGAAACAAACAAACAAAACCAGACCCCCAAAATAAAGTTTTTAATTGATCAAGTCTACTTTTTCTATTTCTTTATAATGAATTTTTATCTTTATTAAATAATTTCCTTCTTGTGTAAGTTAAATTTGTGGTACTCTCCCCCTAGCTTTTGATTTGAATGCTTAATTTTTTTATCTTCAGTATTTATTATTTTTTTCACAAGTTAGTGTCAAGCTCTACATTTTTTTTCTCCAGGCGCTGCTTTGGCTACACTCAGAGGGTATTGCCCTGTGGTTTTCTCTTTGCACCTTGTTTCTATTTATTTGTTCCCTATCCTCCCCTTTTCTCACTGTTTAGAGAGATTTTGTTCCCTGATCTTTCTCTGAAGGTAAATGCTGTTATTGCCATTCCCAGACAGTCCTTTAATTAATAATGCTTTTGGTTGTCCATTCTGGTTCCCCGTGTTCCATTACTCTGAACTTGGAGTTTCTCCAGAGGACAGTTCTCACCTCTGCAGGAGCCTCTTCTCTATCTGTTTGGCATTGTTTTCCAACACCCTGATCCTATTTGCTCTTACAGAAATTGCCTACTTTTCCAGCTCACTCATGGTAATTTTTCCTGTTCCTCAGTACCCCTATGACATTCTTTTTCTTCTATCTTTTCTGTCATTCTAGCAATAGTAAGTGGGGAGGCAAATGAGTGTTCTGATGCCGCCATCTTGGATTATTGGGATTTGGACTGGATTGGGGAGGGTCCTGTTGGGGCAAGAACAGTCTATGCAGAGGCAGGGGTATGGAAAATCCTTGCCCAGAATCATTTCTATCTACTTTTTCTTTGCTCTTCAGGTTAACTTTGTGCTCTTCATTGGCATCATTGTCATCCTTGTGCAGAAACTTCAGTCTCCAGACATGGGAGGCAATGAGTCCAGCATCTACTTGTAAGTACCATTGTGAATGCCACAGTCACTTCCAGCAGTTGTGTGGGCCCTGCACTCAGGTCATAGGAGAGGGCCTAGGTTTTGCTGACAGGGTAAACTAACAGGGGCATTTGCAAGATTTCTTTCTGATTAAAGCGCCTTTAAAATGTAGTTGTCTGCCCATCCTCCAGTCAACCCAGTTGCTGATCTGCATGATTACATGTCAGGGAAGAGAGCGAGAAGATGAGATGGTCAGATCTTCTGTCACTTTAGGAAAATCAAGATGGGAAACACTTGATTCCTTAGAGTAATTAGGGTCTTAGTTGTTTAGCAGTTGGATTTCCTTGGGGGATCTTGCTTCTGTGGGAAGTTCGTGAATGCCACTGGATGCACTGTTGCCTGGTGTCCCACTACCAGCCAAGCGTGTACAAGTTGCTCAGCCCCTACTAGAGAGCCAGGTGGACATTCTTGCTGGTCTGGATATTGGAAGGGGGGAATCCTTTCTCTTCTCCACCTTCTTTCAGGGCCGCTCTATCTCTAGGTCTGGTCTTCCTCCTGCAATTCCCTTCTCCCTGAGCAGAGGGACAGGTGATATGTTTGAGATTGAGGGGATTTGCAGGCAACCTTTACACCATTGAGCATAGGGTTTTCTCCACTTTCGTGGCCATTTGGCTTGTTTCCTACGAGTGTTTTTGCAGTCATGTCCCTAACAGCTTGTCCCACTTGCTCTGTCACCCCTCCTCCAGTCCTCCACCTGTTCTGAATCAGACTAAGAACTTCCTGTTTCACTCCTCTTGCTTCATGATCAGGAGAATGGCCAGCTGGGTGTGTGTTCTGATGATGGGGAGGAAGGTCGAGTCCCCTGTGGTTGGCTGGAAGGGCTAGAGAGGCACAGGACTTTGGAGAGCAGTCCCTGGGGTCTATCCATGGGCAGTAGAATCCATATGTGTTGCCTCCTCAGTTTTTTTAAGAAGAGGGCAGGTTAGAAGGAGCCAAAGTCTTCTCATGGCATTTGGGTCCTGCCTTCATCAGAGACCCCAACCCAGGGCTCAGAACCTTGATGGCTGCCAGTGGACAAGTGGAACAGCAGAGAGACTGCAGCAGAGGGTTCTCCCCACCTGACCATTGTGCTGGGTGGAAAGAGAGGCAGGACAGTTGAGATCCTTCTGCTCCTTGGGGCTTCCTCAGGGAGGCGGAGTTTTCCCTTGATTTGTATGTTAACTTGGGCACCTCCCCTTGTGGAAGTCCTTCCTGTGGGAGCAGAGGATCTGCACAGGGCCTGAGATGGTCAGCCTTGTTTTCCCTGAATTTAAGAGGATTACATTACATTGGAAGGGACCCTCCACCTATTTTTTTGCTATCCATTTACCGTCTTTTTTCCCCCATGCTTTTGCAAGTTCTTTACCAACCCGTGTTTGTATGTATGTGTTTTGTCGTCAAAAATTGTTCATACATGTAAGTCATAAAGTCTCTGAGGCCTTGCACTGGGGGGCCAGTGGGGTTGGCTCCCTGCAACTAACTGCCCTCAAGGGATCATCCCTGCCTTAGTCTCCAGGACCCACAAAACAGGGCCTTCCTGCTCCCTTCACCTCCCCGTCTGACGTCAGCACTCCTGCCCTTGTGTCTGGCCCAGGGTGGACTGCTCAGAGGCCTTTTGGCTCCCACACAGTTGTTTCAGAGATCTGAAGCTAGCGGTAGTGAAGGTGGCCTCTTCTCTCCTTTGAGCTCATGCCTTGCATCCCCCTACCCTCTGCTTCCTTTTCTTTGTGGTTCCTGGAGTCTCTTCCCTGGGAGGCTCTCCCTGCTTCCCCTCACCTGGCCTGTGCAGGGACGTATACAGGGACCCAGCTGCAGCCTAAAAAAGGCCCCGATGCCACCCCTTCAGTGACCCCGACACACACTTCAGCTCAGACATCTTGTCCCAGGCAGCAAGAAGCCCTGGGGTCTGGCGGGAGGGAAGCAGGTGGCAGGGCTTTCAAGTTACCACAGACTGGAGTCCTGTCCGGCCTTCCTAAGGCATAGAGGACTATTTGTCAAGGTGCTTTATACATTTAAGTACAAGTATTTAAAGAACCAGCTAGTTGGTTTGCTTCTGTCGTGTAAAAAAAAAAAATCCCCTTGCTACCTCTGTACATCCTCTTCTTAGAGAAAATCTGTGCTAGTCTCAAGCCCCAGAGATGAAAAAGTCAGATGTGGTCTGTAAGCCCGGGGGAGTGCTGATGCGGGATACGGGACCATTTCGATTCCAGTAAACATATATGAGCATCTGCAGGGTCAGGGCGACCCTGTTGGTGGGAAGTGAGGGATAATCAGAGTGACCGTGCTGCTGGGGACTGCAGAGCTTCTAGCAACACTTGCCACCCAGTCCACACACATTTCGTGCTCGTAAACAGCCAGTGAATCTGGTGGGCTGAGTAACCAACTGTTCAGTATAATCCTCATTTTGCAACTGAGGGAACTAGTTGTCAGTGAAGTAAAATGAATCCAGGAGGAATTAGTGAAGCCATAGCTCGGGTACAGCAGGCCCTTGGCTCTGAGCTTGACTGCACTGTCTTTCCTGTCGCCAAGGAAGTTACAGATGAAAGATGGTGTTAAATAAGCATATAAACAAAGCTTCCTGGAAGAAGAGGCCCCGATAGGATCCAGCCTTGTTGAGAGCTACCCCACCTGGAGTGCTTTGGGTTGGGAGGGAGGTGTCTGCTGTAGGGGAGGGGAGGTTATGGGGGGGATGGGAAGGGGCAGGACCTGGTGGGAGAAGAGATTTCAGGATTGTGCCCAAGTCCCCTTGGGCCACCAGAGTTATATGTGGGGCTGAGAAGCCCCTTCCGATCTGCCCACAACAGCTTTCTGGTTTTTTCCTCTGTTTCCAGAACAAATTTAAGCCTGGGAGTCCCCAAGAAAGCCCGAGAGGACCCCCTGCCTGTGCCCTCAGACCAGCATTCACTCCCTTTCCTGTAGGTTGGTTCCAGCTGCTCAGATGATAAGGGTTTGAGACATCGCTTCTATTGGGGCTTGGACCCCTGCAGGGGGCAGTGGCCCTGAGCCACCCACACTCACTCTGAGGAGCTGGCATCAGGACTTGGGCAATGGCCAGACATGGAGTGTGGGCCTGGGTAGGGGCTTAGCATGTGCTCTGGCTCCATTTGGTCTGGGGTGGGGGTTAGGGCTCAGCCTGAGGCGGGGGCCAGGGTTAGTCTGCCCTTCCCTGCCCTTAGCTCTGTGACAAGCCAGCTGGCTCAGAAAGGGGAGGGTGAGGTTCCGCGAGGGCACCAGTTGTGCTGAGACCACCTTCAGTTGCTGGCTTTCCTCCCGGCGGCCTCCACATTGCAGGATGGGCTTTGGAAGCTGCCTCTCCGGTCTGGGGTGGGGGAGGGAAGCCCTTGGGGACCTTGCAGAGCAGATCTGCATGGCCCCTTGGGGTAAAAGAGGGAGAAGAGAACAGACATTGTGATGTTGGCAGGGCTGTGACACCCAGTGTCTGAGCGACCGCACCACCTCCAAAGATGGACTCCGTCGTGGCAAAAGTGCAGTCAGGAAGCTTCCAACTCCCACGGGGCTCCATCTTCCACTTCCAGAGCACCCCTCCCCTGTCTGGCAGCACCCGTGTCCTCACAATTTCTCTTAGGGATCAGCAGCAGGGAACGGTTACTCCCATTTTGCAGATGGTGAAACTGAGGCTCAGAGAAGGAAAGTGGTACCACCTGAGACCAGCCAGCAAGTCAGTGTGTAGACAAAGCCTCAAGCTCACGAGCCCTGACCCCCAGAGGCTGGGGATGGGGCACAGAGGGTGAGCTTGTCCTCAGTGGTGAGGAGTGGGCAGGGAAGCTCCAAGATCTGCTGAGCTGAGCTTCTGGCTGGAGTAGCCGTGCGCTGTGCAGTGCTTCCCTGGGCGCTGGGCCAGGGTTCTGGGGGGTATACAGCATCTTAGCATCACGAGGGACCAGATGGAGAATGTTCAGTTCAGGCTGAGACCTTCTATGGGCCTGCCGAGCGACCCAGTGCCACCAAGTCACTAGGAGCAGGGCGGAATAGATGGGTGCTGCCCTCCTAGGGCTCCCCTGCAGGGGTCTCTGTCTAGCATTGGGTTGGATGTTCCCTGGGGCTCTACACGTTCAAAGGCAGCTCTGCACACCAAAGGCGCCAAAGCACCCACGGAATTTAGCCTGTGGCCAAAGCAGGGCCGAAGAAACCATGTCCTGCCGCCCTGGGTTATACAGGAGCCCTGAGACCTGGACGTGGCTTTGACCTTCCTGCAGATACCCAGCAAAGTCTTGGCGGAACCAGGCCTGCGAGCCGGGGCTCCCCCGGTGTCCAGATGGCGGTGTGGGCCGTGTACCTGCTGTGGGGCCTCCAGCCTTCCGATCCATTCCCACCCAGCAGCCTTGCCTTAGTTTCTTATCTTCCCTTGAATCCAAATCAGAGCTGAGCTCCCCAGCCAGTCTGGCGTTATGTCTTTCTCTTGGTTCAATTCCCCCCACCCCCACCCTTTTTAAAAATTTAACTAATTGTAGTGTCTTTTTTGAGGTTATGGCATCTCTTCTTTCTCACGCCTGTCTCTGGCTTTTCTGCTACCCTCTTATATTCTTTTCAGTGGGTCCTTTTGCATAGAGTCATTGATGTATTGGGAGAAGTGGAGTGTCTGGAAAGGAGGGCACTTACCTTTGTCCCTAGAGCCTTCTCCTGAGAGCCCTCCCCAGCATCAGCCCCCCTCCCCCCTTTGTTCTGCCCACATCTGTACCCAGGGGTCTGACCTCCCAGCTCGCCTGCCACTAAGTGGCCTTTAGCATACTGTGAAGAAATCATAGGAGTCTGTATTTACTGTGGCCAGGGCCCAGGAAGGGCAGGGACAACAACTTGGAAGTGCAAGGAAGAGTGGTCTCCAAGGACAGCAGCTGAGGATTTAGAATTCAGGGTGAGGGCTTAAGCCTGGCACGTAGGGGGTGGCATCTGAGGTTTGGGCTCTCAGGCTCCTGGGCACCACAGTTGAGGGATCAGGCCCCTGACTGCAGGAGAAAGTAGCCAACCTTTCAGTCTGGGCCAGGTAGAGATAAATTTGGAGACTAGAATGGCTCCCTTTCCTGTATACCCAATTAAGCTCTTTTAAGTTGTGAGAAAAACCTACTTATGTGTGTCCATCTGTCTCTTCATATATATATATCTATATATCTATAGATATATAGATATATATATCATATATATCTATAGATATATATATGAGAAACCGACCTTTGACATTCCCTGAGCACACGTGAAGAAACTTCTCAAATACGTTACTTCCTCGCAACAGTGCTTCTCAAGCTCTGAGTTGTCTGTGGATCATGTAGGGATCTTGTAAAAATGCAGATTGTGAGCCAGCAGGGCTGGGGTGATGCCTATGATTCTGCATCTCTAAGAAGCTCACAGGTGGTGCTGATGCTGCTGGTCTGGGCAGCAGAGCGTCACGCCATCCCTCACACCTCTCCCCTCACACCTCTCATCTGCAAAGTCGGCCAGTAGCGCCCACCCCACCATGTGGTATGAACTGAGAGGTGCCTTTTGTTTTTTAATCAATTAATACATTTACTTGAAAGATTCTGTTTATTTATTCATGAGAGACACAGGGAGAGAGGCAGAGACACAGGCAGAGGGAGAAGCAGGCTCCCTGCGAGGAGCCCGATGCGGGACTCGATCCCAGGACCCCAGGATCACAGCCTGAGCCAAAGGCAGCCGCTCAACCGCTGAGCCACCCAGGCGTCCCGAGAGGTGCGGTTTATTAAATGAGAACCACGCACCTGACAGAGGCAAGGGTCCTGGGTGGACCTCCGCTTGCTTCATCTTTTTAAGGTGTCATTCATACTCTTGCCTCAGCAAAATGACCTGTCTCCACATGTCAAGGACCTTCAGACTGACCTTCAAAGAGCTGGAATCACAAATTACGAATCAGTGAATGCCCAAGGTCTGGTATCTTCGTGTGTGTCTGTTCTCATGTACATTGGATCCCCTCAGAGATCATCGGCGGGTCCTAGGGGCTCGGTGCCACGTGGTGCCCAAGGAGGGTTCGTGGAGGAGGCCACTCTTTTGCAGTCTGACGAGCTGACACGGCTCTTGATCTGGGTCCTACGTATGTATCAGAGAAGGAAAAGCAGTGTCTGTGGCTTGTCCCCACCCAAGCGTAAGCAGGACCGTGAGAAGCTAGAACAGATGGACGTTTAGTCTGACATCTCCGAGGAGGTGGAAGCTCTGTGCCTCCTCGCCCAGCGGGATGTAGAGGGAGCCTGGCACCCAGGGCCCGCCTGCGGATGCCTCCTTTAAGATGACCTGTTACTGCAGGCACGAGGGCAGTGCCCAAAAGGCACCCTCCCAGCCTGCAGCCCCTGCCTGTTGAACTTTATCAGGAAGTCCAGCCCAGCGCTGTGCCGTAGGACTCTCAGCAGGGACGGACATGCCCGAGACTGTGCCACCCGGTATGGGAACCACTGGCTCCATGTGGCTCTTGAGCTATTGCAGTGTGGTTAGGGTAACTGAGGAAAGGGGATTTCTAATTTGATTTCATTTTAACTCAGCTGCCGATGCGGAGTGGCTGTCGTATGGGGTGACGCGGATGTAGATTAAGTAACACTCTGTTCCATCCATCCCACCTCTGTCGCCCCTGTGTGCCCACTGGGAGCTGCCTGGGAGCACAGAGAGGAGGAGGTCCAGGCAGGAAGAGTGAGAGGTATAGAGGACAAAGGCGGTGGACACTCAAGCCCAGAACTGGCCTGATTCAGGCTGGGCCGGCCCGGCGTAGGCAGCGTGAGGCCCACGGCGTGCGTTTCCAGCTGCCCGTCTTGCTGAGTGACCTCCGGCAGGCCCACGCTCTGAGCCTGGAGCTGACTCAGCAGACAGCGTCCAGGCCCCTGCTTGAGACCCAGGCCTGCCCCCACCTTCAGAACACATGTGCTCTCCATCTCCCCTTACCTGCTGTGGACCCAGTGTGGTGCTTGTTGTGTGCGTGTGTGTCCATGCACACACCTGTACACGTATGGGCATGCGTTTCTGTGTCCAGAGCTGACCGTGTCTTGGCCCCTGGCTTCCTCATTCTCTCCCACGTCACCGCCCCAACCCTGTCTCCACACTGGGGGCTCCCCTCTCCTCCCCTGAGCCGTGTCGCTCTAGGTCCACCTCAGTTTCTCCATTGCCCGATGCCCCCAGCTGACAGAAGTGCTGATCTTGTCACACCCAGCAGCTGCGTGCAGAAATGCTACTGCAAGCCACAGCGGGCTCAGCAGCACTCCTGCAAGATGTCAGAACTGTCCACCATAACTCTGTAAGTGTGCGTGGCGTGGCTGTGGCCGGGAATCCTGGAGGGGAGGGGGCCGCATGCTGCTGCTGCCCGGAGCTTGTACCCTGGCCCGGCTGGACGAGGGTGGAGAGCAAGCCTGTGCCTCCTGCCCAGCCCTTCTGTGCTGTTGCATGTTGACGTCTGTGTGTCTTGTGAGTTCTCTGCAACCCGAAGCCATCGGGGCGGGAGTTGGGTGGTCGTGGGGTGGATCTGTGGGCCCAGGCGGGAGCAGCAGGGCTTGCCCGGCGCTGAGGCTTGGAAGCCTCGGAAGCATCCTTGCTGCTGCCATGATGTGTGGTTTGCCCTGAATCCCTCACTTCTCTGGGCTTCAGGCTTTGCAACTATCCAATTGTTTCTAAGAGCCCTAGAGCTTGAGTTCCTATAGATTGTCCTCCTGTGCGGGACAGGACCCTTACTCCAAGGAACCTCACTCACACTTCATGTGCCAAGTGGCTTCATCCCCTCAATGACCCTGTGAGGGGATCCTTGTAATAACCTCATTTTACAGACGAGAAGACTGAACACAGAGAGGTGAAGTACTCCCTCAAGGTCCCATAACTGAACCCAGGGAGAACTAAGCATTAAGGCCCCAAGGCATCTCTAACTGGAGATCGGTCTTCATTTCATTTGGAAATCCTTTGAAGGGGGGAGCCCAACGTAATTTGGGTGACTGACTGTTGGAAGCTCTTCCTTGGGTGTTTTAGGACTCTTCTGCCTATTGATGCCTCCTTGGGGCAGGAGGACAGAGGCTGAGGCCGGTGTTGCTGTCTCTGTGGCCTAATCAGATCATAGGGTGATTCTTTGTCCTCAAAGGGTTTCCAAGGCTCACACCATGTGTCCCCATTTCATGGCCTCTGGTCAGCTCTGAAGTACAGAGGTTCCAGAACTTTGGGTCCTCACGGCCTCCTCATCTGTGCCCCCCCACCCCCATCTACAAAGGGGTCACTGGGATGCCCTGGGTCCTTGGCCGAAGTCCCCAGCCATTCCAGGGCTCCGGTAGGGCCATCCAGGAGTGAAAAGTGTTGCCCTTGCTGCCATTTGCCACCTGGCCAGGGACAGGGAAGGCCTGAGCTCATGTCTAGAAGGACCCTGCTTCTCACACACTGAACGCATCCATCCACTGCCCCATGAAAGCTGGAGAGGTTTGGCCTTTTGGTTTCTAAGGACTTTCAAACTGCAGGGATGAGTCCTGCAAACAGGCCCATGGAGGAAGGGAAGGGGCAACAGGTGCGTCCCAGGGCCGCCTTTCCTCCTGAGCCCCTTCACTTACCCTTGTAAGGTAACCCCCTCTGGGCAGGGTCTACAGGGGCCTCCAGGTGCCCACGTGCCTGCATTTCCAGGCCAGTTGCCGTTTCTGCTGCCTTTTGAGCTTTCGTTCTTCAGCTGTCACTCCCTGCTGCCTCTGATGCTGGCCACGGGGGACACAGAGATGAGCAGGGCCTGGGCCCTGGGGCACGTTCAGGCCCGCGTGTCCATTTATCCCTCCCCAGGCAGGCACCTTCTGCGTGTGAGCCCCCAGCCTGGCGTGTGCTGGCCAGGGAGGGCAACTGGTAAGGGCAGTCCAGGCCCACCTTCAAGGAGCCAGAGCCTGGCAGGGCACAGACCACTCAAGGACCACACCTGGGTGCAGAGTGGGACCAACTCACATCCTGTTGGTGCCAGTTCTGGTCCAGGGCACCCGGGTCCTGCACAACTGGCTGCCTGCGAGCAGGGGCAGAGGGGGCGGGCACTGGCACTCGTGGAGCTTCTTGCTTCCAGGGCTGAGCCTTGGTCTACCTGAAGGTTTTCTCAGGCTACTCCTCCCCCTTCCTCTGTGTCTCCTCCTCTGCTTTTCTTCCTTCTCCCCTCTCACCTTCCTTTTCTCTTTGTCGAAGCTGAGATGCCAAGGGCCTCCCTCAGACTCCATGGATTCACCTTCTCCTGAAATCCAGGGCCCCTACATTCAACAGAATGATGTCTCCCCGAAAGGCTGGAGTGGAGAAGAGGGCAGGGCACATGTGTAAAGGTCCCAAATCACAGAGCTATCCCACACCCCCGTGGACAGGAACTGAGAGGGTCGGGAACCCACTTCACACCCCCCACTCTGATTGCCCAGGGGGCAGACCATACCTTCAAGGGCAGGGCTGGCTCTTCCAGGTGCTCCAGAGGGAGCCAGTCTGCTGGGGTGGGCAAAGATGGGGCCCCAGTCTTGGAGACCCTCTGGGAACACCCCTTCTGAGAGAGTAGGACCCATGAGTACATGCCATGTGGATCCTTGGGATGTCATATCATGGCTTCTGTGCCCTGGTCCCTCAGAGCAGAGCCCCACTTCACTGGGCTTAGTAGCCAGGGGCAAGCAGAGGAATCCCAGAAGAGGAGCCTCAGGAGGCGTGGAGGTCCCTTTGGCCCTGTCTCTCCCTAGCCCGCAAGCTCCAAGCAGATTGCCACCTCTCTCTTGACTTTCCCAGGTAGTAGTTTCCTCTGGCTTAGCTGGTGTTTGTTGATTCCCAGAGTCAGAAAACCCTTCCCCGGATGCCTCCCGAGTCTCTCCATCTGTGGTCCACCCACTGTGCCCCCCACCTCTCCCTCACCCCCACTTCCCCATCACTCTCCATGAGTGTCCCTGGCAACCCCAGACTCAGAAAAGCCCGCTGCCTCCGTGTCCCTGAGACAGGGACATGGAACTTCCATCCAGAGCAGGAGAGGGTTTGCTTTGCTTGAGGGTCCAGCATGTCACTCAAACCTTCCGGATCCCATCCCTCTATTTGTCCTGATTTCACTTTTCCCAAGGGTTTTGTACCTCCCTCCCACAAGGGGTGTCTGTAAACCACACTCACACGTGCATATTTAATGGTTGTGCAGGATACTGGTAGGGCCTAGAGGGATGCTGTGTCCCCCTCTCCCCCCAGAGCTTCCCAGGGAGTTCTGGAAGTCCTGCTGTGTTGCCACCATCTCTTCCAGGCCCCACGCACTGGGAGAGAATCCTGAGAGGGTCTGTGGACAGGAGCTCCAGCTCTGGGGGAGAACAGGGAGCTGGGACTAGGGTCTCTGCCTTCCAAGGCTCCGGCATCAAGACCTGGCAGCCCCAAGAGCAATATCTCGCTCTCTCCTGACAGACGGCTAGCCCGGTCTACTCTGCTGCTCATCCCGCTATTTGGAATCCACTACACGGTATTCGCCTTCTCCCCGGAGAATGTCAGCAAGAGGGAGAGACTTGTGTTTGAGCTGGGGCTGGGCTCCTTCCAGGTACGTGTGGTGGGGATGGCAGGTGGGGGACTCAGAGGGAGCCAGGGCCCGGCCCCTAACCTGCTGGTGGTTCTGACTTCTTTAACCTAGATCCAGCCTTGTGTTTCCATCTCTGAAATAGGAGCACTAGGAGAAAAGGGAGCCGGGAGAGATCCTTCTGTCTACCCTGTGGGCTCCTATGAGAACACACACTGCTATCTGCCTGTTGCCGCACCTGGGTGTTCTCAGCAAGGCCTCCCCTGGGCTCCCCATCCCTCACCTTCAGCCTGGGGTGTGAGCAGGATGCTCTCCAGGGACCTGTGTGTCCACATCCCGACTCCAGCCTGCCGAACCATGCCTGTTAGGGGCGCTGGAGCTCTGTGTTACCCAAGTTGGGGACCTGGCCACAGAGAGCCCAACAGGTGGATGAGCAGAGATGTAAACGATCCAGGAAATAGCGAGTAGGGGGGACCATGCACCCATGCCTGAAGGTGTAATTGGATGTGAGTGAGTTGCTTTAAGGATTTGGAGTAAATTAATAGACAGCTGCACAGGTGGATCCGTGAAGGTAGCAGTGACAACCTTGAGTGTCCCCACGATAGAGCACCTCTCTCTAACCCAGCTGTCGGACCCAGCGTCTTGATGGTCAGAAGGTGACTCTGTGTATCTGACTTAACCTCTCCCCACCCCATTCTAACTCAAGGCCATTTTACCGGTTAGGGTTCTTAGCCTGGCGTGGCCGGGAGTTGTGTGGCTGCAGCCCCAGCCTGGAGGCAGAGCCCAGCGTTCCCGTCTCGGCACAGGAACTCTAAGTGCCAGGAGTACACGTGAAGACTCCACGTAGAGTAGCTAGCTGCCTACTTTGTGTCGAGCAATTACTCATGTGGTGTTTTGCGTGCTGTGTATATGGGTATCTGGCCAAGGAAGGCTGCAATGGGGGAGGTAGTGGGGATAAAGACACACGTCTGTTCTGTCCTGGAATGGTGCCACCCTCAGGGCCCTGCAAGCTGGTTAGGGAGCCTAGAGAACATCCCTGGGAACATCCAGGAAAGGCTTCTTGCAGCAGGTGGGTAGAGCTGGCCTTCGGCAATGGGAAGGATTTGACCTAGGGACTGTGAGATCCAAAGCCGGGGGGCAGTCACTTGGCCTCGTGGGTGTGGCCGTCTTGGTGCAGCAGAACTTCTCCCATCTTAACCACAGGTTCCCCGGGCGGGTGGCCCCCCATCCAGGTCATTGTACTTTTCTGCCGCCTGGTGTCATTCCCCATTTCCGCCACCTCCTCCGCTCCCTGTGCACAAGGTCCCTTGCTAGCTCTCTCAGGTTATTTTTGCTCTCTCTCCCCAGGGCTTTGTGGTGGCTGTTCTCTACTGTTTTCTGAATGGGGAGGTAAGATTCCGGCCCTCTGGCTTCTTAGTAATGGAGGTGGGGATTGCTGGGGAGCAGACAGGGGCGGAGCCTGCTGCCCACCAGAGCCGATTCTCCGAACCAAGGCCATGCCAGGCTCCCCCCAGCACCCAGTGGAGGGGGAGGGCAGCGGTGCTAGGGTCTCCTGGCAGCCTGCACCCTGTGCCAGAATCTGTCCCCCTTTGCCTGCTGTGCAAGGCATCAACTGTGCCTGTAAAGGCATCACCTGCTGAGCACAGCTGTGCCTGGCAGGGCTTGCAGTGTGGGACATAGCTGCCCCAAAGTCAGCACCGTCCCTGGCATGCCTGCTGGCCTGCCCAAACCCATCCCCTGTAGAGTGGGGGCTCTGGGGACCTGGAGAGCCCCCTCCCAGAGAGGCCTGGAGCCTTCTCATAGTGTTCCATTTCCAGAGCTGTAGTCTTAGGGCCTCCTGCTCCAGTGTATTAGGGTGATGCTCTTGATTAGAGCCCAGAATAGAGGTGCTAGGCCAGGGTAGGGGCTCCTTGGGTGGGACCAGTATGGAGAGTGGGCAGGGATCACGCACCCGTGCTTGGGTCTCAGCTGCATGACCTCGGCAGGCTCCTTCCCTTTCTGCAACTGAGAAATAAGAAGACTGGGTCTAGAGATCGCCAAGACAACTCTAGAAAGGTCAGATGAGGAGAAACAACAGAGCCCTGCAGGGGGTGGCTGGGGGAGGCAGGGAATGGGAGTTATGTGGAACTTGCCAAGAGACCTGGGGGAGCGGGGGAAGCAGGAGCTGGAACCAGAGGGCTGGAAGCTGGGACCGCTCACTTGCGGTCGTGCAGTCAGTGCGCCACAGGGAGATGCCAGCCTGAGGGGGCGTCTGGAGCCTGAAACTAGTCCTGCCCCATACATCCCGTGCTAAGAGCAACATGGGGGTGTGTTCACCCAGAGAGCACATTATTCAGTGGTCCCTGACCCTGACCGCGTATTGGAATCCCCCGGGGAAGCTGTACAACGTACGGATGCCTTACCCCAGAGACTCTGATGTAACTGTCCTGCGATATGGTCTGGGCATCTGGGTTTGTCAAGCTCTCCAGGTTATTCCGCCGTGCAGCCCTCTGTTACTGGTCTGAGACAGTGGGCTCTTTGCCCTGACCTGTCGGCCCCTAGGCCCTGCTTTGTACGATCCCCCGAAAGAGCCTGAGAGCCAGTCCCTGACTGTGGAGCTCCAAGGCCCGGGCCCAGAGGCCCACGGAGAGCAAGAAGCCATGAGAGGGCCTTGCTCAGACGGTGACTTGGGCGAAGGACTACTACGGTCAGCTCCTCAGCGGAGTTCCTTTCGCATCGGTGGCCCTGAGGGCTCCAAGCTGCCGTTTGGGTCAGACGGTAGTGCAGGAGGTGGCGATGCCAGCCTGGGAGGGGCCTCAAGGTAGACGAGGTTGCAGAAGATGTCTGTCTAGAAGTGACCATCTAAGTTGCTCCCTGCAGGTGCAGGCGGAGATCAAGCGTAAGTGGCGGAGCTGGAAGGTGAACCGCTACTTTGCCGTGGACTTCAAGCACCGACACCCATCCCTGGCCAGCAGCGGGGTGAACGGGGGCACCCAGCTCTCCATCCTGAGCAAGAGCAGCTCCCAGATCCGCATGTCGGGCCTCCCGGCTGACAACCTGGCCACCTGAGCCCGCCCTCCCTTCTTCCTCTCCTCCATATACAGGCTGGGGCTGCGGGCAGGCGCCAGCCCACACACATTGTGCTTCTTTTCTCACTTCGGGCAGGCCCTGGGCTGAAGGCTGGGCTCCCCGAGGTGGGAGAAGGATGCCGGGCGCAGATGGGTATTGGCCCTACCCGTTTGGCACTGGCCCCACCCACCATGGGCCTCTTTGCCCTGATCCCAGACATGTAAATACTCCACAAATTTTGAGAAGTTGTCTCATCCCTACCCCTTTACCCACTGTCCCTGCTCACCTCAAGCAAGTCCCCAGCTTCACCCTATCCTGTTTCCACCAGCCTTAGTGATCTTCTTGACCCCTGAATGAGGCCTTGTGGGCTAAGGCTGACGACCTTGCTTTGAGAGGCTTGGGGTGGGGCCTTCCTGACAGCCCCCACAGTGTCTGACTTTCAGTGTGGACTCCTTGAGTCGGCTTGCCACCTGAGGCCCTCCTCAGGCCTGGCCCGGTCCCTGAGGTCTGCCAGAGGCCCGGTGTGGGTGCCCAGAGCTTCCTTCAGTGGAAGCAAGATGAGCCGAGACTCCTTCGTACTCCTCACCCAGCATCTTGGTGTCCAGATGTCCCGCTCCTGGGTATCAGGACGGTGGACAGCTCCAGGGCTCTTCCAATCAGAGACTTCATTTTGGGTGTGGGGCTGAGGGTCCCGGAATGTTCTGGTGCTCTTCATCTGGTGGAAGAAAAATAACCAAGATCCAGAAATGTGGATGTGATTGGAAAGGAGATGGAAAGAGTTTTGGGGCCCATGGAAGAAGACCTTCACTGGCTCCATTATTTCACTCCAGACTCAAGGGGGTGGGGATTCACCTGGTAGCCTCCCTTCTACCCCTCCCATCCCCGAGCATCAGCTGCAGGAGGTGAGAGACACATGCCTCAGAGAGACTGCTCCCCACCCATACCTACTACAAGGAGCCCTATGCCCTCCCCTTTCTCGTTCCTCCTTAAGTCAAAGCCATGATTAGGATGAACCAGCCGCCTTCCTGTGATGTCACTGAATCCCAAAGCACCTTACCTCCATGTGCCCGAGTCCAGGGCATGAGACTCCCCTTTCCCCCACCCTCATGGACGATGAGCCCCAGCCACCAGCTTCTTGGACTTTGGCTCAGCTACTGAAATATCTCTGAGACCTTTGCAAAGACTTCCCTCTGTGTTTTCTTGACATTGAATCACCACAGATGCCAGAGTGTCCTAGGGTGTTGGGAGAGGGAACCACACCCACCAGGCCTGTTAGAAGAAGCTGCAGATGGAAGGCACAGCAGCTCTCCAGCTCCCATCGTGGTTCTCCAGCCGCAGTTCTTGGCCACAGCCTAAGAATTCAAAATGGGGCAGAACCAGGTTGGGGGATGGTGGAGCAAAATGCTAGAGTGCCATGGCCCGTGTGTGGGGCCCACTTCATTCCATGTCAACTTTTGGTGTTGTTCTTGTCCAAGTGTGTTTGTGGACTTGCTTCGTGATCGTATTCTGGAATGCTTGGGGAACTTGGGTGGAGAGGGAATGCTGCTTAGCTTGGTTTTATAAAGGGGAAGAGGCCTGGGAAGTTTGGGGGTCTGTTTTTGGAGAGATCCCCAAGATGACTGGAGAAGGACTTGGTTGCATGGTTTAGGGATGAGCCTTGTGTTGCTGGACAGTGAAGCATTGCTGACCCCTTGGGTCTTTGGCAAACCCAGAATCTGTCCCAGTAGGGCTCATACTGCTGAGACTGTGGACACAGAGGTCTCTGTTTGGGGTCTCGGTTTCTCACTTGTGAGATGCAGTGACTTCTAAAAGCTTTTCCAAGCTCTGTACATCAATAATTCTCCAGTTCAAAACTAAGCAGATAAAAGGGCATGCGTCATTGTCATGTGTGTCACCTAAAAGGTTCTGAAGTGCACGTATTTGTACGTATGTGGAGAGAGGGGAGAATGTTTATTTTCCCTTTCTTAGAAAGGAAATACTTGTCTCTTCCATTGGGACACCACAGTGGAAGCTAGTGGGCTGGAGGGAGGGATCATGCCAGGGACAATTGGACAGGGGCCTTGGGCGTGATGTGCAGATCCAGCCGTGTCCCTAGCCCGGGCAGGGTGCCAAGGCTGCTTGGACGGTAGCCACCCCGAGATCCTAGGAACAGTCCCCCGAGTGGACCTCATTTCTTCGTCCCCATCCCCACCAGCAAATCTGCTTCACTGTGGAAAAAAGAGACTTTGATTTTATACATATGTCATCACAAAACAGCAAAAACATAATCAGCCCTGATTTCCATGTGCTGTGCTGCCACCTGAGCCCTGGGTTGCATCCTTGTAGAGGTTCCAGGTTCCTGTTAGTTTGTTGGTTTGTTTTTCTATCTGAACGAATAATTGCCAGTCTTGTGAACAGATGTACCCAATGTATTTTGAATGTTCCAGAAGGTTAGGCAGCTGGCCTTGAGCATCATACGCAGTGAGGGGGATAGCATAAGGTCTGGATAAAACCCTTCCCTCTCTGAGTCTTTGTTTTCAAATCTGTAAAATGGGCAGTAAGACTAGGTGATTTGTGTGGCCCATTGCGTCCCTGGAATTCTATGTCTATACACCAGCCATCTACTTACTGGGCATGGGTCCCAGGCAAAGATTGTGGTATCTGCCTGTCTGGGAAAGGATAAGAAGTGGTGTGGGGCGGGGAGGGGTTTGAGGGCTTTGGGAATGGTTAGGCTGGAGAGGAGCAGTTATCCGACTCCATGACTCTAGAGGATCATTACCAGGAAGGGGTTTTTTCATTGTTTTATGCAATCCTAAAGGGCAACAGTCACCCGGAGTGGCTGAGTTTTTCTTGGAATGAAGAGATTTTTCAACCTCTTTTATGAATGTCTCATCATGGGACAGGTCCTGTTAGGGGAGAAACTCCAACCCTGGAGGAAATGGGATTGCAAGTCAGGGATGCTGAGGCTGTCAGAGAACCTGTGACAGGACAGAGTGTATGATTTGGAGGGTGGGGGGCAGGCAGTTCTGTAGCTTCTTTGTGGTCCCCAGTGCTGGGGGGGGGGGGACTGCTTAACCCCCTACTATACCTAAGGCCAGGCCACATTGTCTAGATCGGTGGGTAGTTCTGTGACTCTCCTTGACACACCCAGTGGTGTGCAGTGATTCCTTTTCTTACTCTCCTGCCTCCCCCAAACCAGTTTATTTGGGGAATAGGGCCAGGGAGCTGGAGCTGGGCCAAGGCTTGGAATATACACTATCACCCACCAAGTGTGCTGACTCACCTCCTTCATTTGACCCTTTCCCTTCCTGGAAGGAAAGCCAGAAGAGGCTTTCTTTGTGATCCCGTGAGTACCCTCGACCCCCCTGAGGCCACACCAATGTGAAAGCAGTGAGTGCTTTGTCATCATAAATTCCTGCTTGAACCCAGTGACCATGGAAGCCTGTCAGAAAAGCTTTGAGCGCGGAGTGGAGAACCTGGGCTTCTCCCAGCTTTGTGGGTGACCTGCTGTTTGGCCTTGACCCCTTCCCCATATATCTTGAGGAAGACTCACAAAGCACTAGATCTGGGAAGAAAAACAGAGGTCGACAGGTCAAACCTCCCCATTGGGCTGCTGAGAACTCGCTTACCGGCAGGCTTACTCAGCTTGGTGCCTGTACTGTGCTGGGATCCAATATGCTTTACAAACCTGAATGAGGCAGTGGGCCCGCCAGCATGTGCCCAGCCCTGCACGTGAACCAGAATAAGGCATCCATACAGGAAACAGTCGTCTTGCACAAGAAAGGGGCTCTGGCTGCAGAAGTTGTTAGGACTCCAAGTTACAGGAAGAGCCATGAAGTCAGTGTGGCTTGGGGCGAACTGTGTTCTAGCCTGGGGTTTCCCACCTGCTTCTTGGAGCCTCTGTTTCTTAATCTGTGAAATGGGAGAAGATGATTTGCAGTCTGCCCCATAGGCCAGGGATGAGGTTGAAATGAGACATCTTTGTGTGTAAAAGGGCTTTGGAAACTACATTATTGGCTGGTTACTGGGGTGAAGACCTCTGAAAGGGACTCTGTGCTATTTGTCAACTGCTTTGAGCCATCCTGGGTTAACCTATGCTCCATTTGTAAAACCACCAGCACTGGGGGTGAGGGGGAGGCCAGTGGACTGATGGACACGGAATTCCAGATTTATGTCTGTCAACTGATTCACTTTGCTCTTGGGGTTAGGATGGGGAGGATTTCATGTGGGTGGTGATTTCCATGTCACCTCCATGGGAATCCTTCAGGGATCTGGGAAATTCCTCAAGTGGGCTATGTGCCCCTTTCTACTTTCCCTAAACGTGAGGTCCTGGGATGTGTTCGTGCTTAGTCATTTGTGTCTTGTCTTATGTTCGTGTTCTGTGGTTTGCCCTCGTGAGGGCTGAAGTGGGGCAGTCTCCAGCATCCCAGACGTGGCTTCAGGCTTGCTTGTGGAACCGGGCTCCCCGCTGTGTTTCGTCTCCCACAATAAAGATAAACCCCAAAGACCTCACTGCTCCCGCTGCCGCCATTAATGCTGTGCTCACAACCTTGTCGGGGATTTTAAGGATGTCAACCTGCTGTAGATGACTCAATAAATGTCTTACCATTTTTCCTGGTGGCTGTTAACTTGGCAGAAGTTATGGGCAGGGAGGAGAGGAGGTGGAAGGGGAGGAAATCTGACCACCCATAGTAATCCAGTCCCCACAGTCCTGTGGCCTTTTGGATTCCAAGGGACAGGTGTGAGAACAAGCATGAATGAGCTTAGAACGAACCTGGCTTGGAAGAGTAAAGTCATGACCTCAAAAGGACCTGAAAGGATCATGCAAATTGAGTGGAATCAAGGTCTGTTAGATGTTTTGAGTTCCCAGAAATGAAAGTAACTCACCCCATGGTTTTGATTCCCTGTGGCCTTATGTTGTTTTATGAGCATGGCTACCAGATACCCTAGAGCTTGCCTATAATTCCAAGTAAGCACAGGTGCATCACTGGCTACCAGAGCCCACCCCCTAATCTGGATATTCAGAGCCATTAGCCCACGCCAGACCAGTTCACCAATTCCAGGTAACTTCCATTTCCTCGAGTTTCTACTGACTGTCATAACCTCCAGTGCCCATTTGTAAGCAGTCAGAATTTACAGTTGCTAGCAACAGAAGATAATTTTGGCTGATAATCCAAAATGGGGTTTAGGGGGGAGATATTGGACATCTCCTAGAACTCTCTCGAAGCTACGGAAACCAGCAAAGATGTCTCAAGGGAGAGCATGCTATAGAATTGGTGGTGAAGCTGTTGTCTGCTGCTGCCACCAGCCCAGTGAGGTCTCTTCTGTGCCAGGGACCCATCCTCATAGTTACCAGTTTTGGGAGCAAATAGCTTTGCTGCCATCCTCACCAGGAAATCAGTCCACATGCAGCCTCTTTCCTCAAGTCTCTCATTTCTGAATCGAAGCCTCACATGAGTCCATTAGGTTGGCTGTGTTTTGGTTGCAAAGGAGGCCAGAAATTTGACTTTTCTGGATTCTTGGGGAAGTCAGGATCCTAAATCTGGAGATTTTCTAAACTTAACAATAGTATTAAAAAGCCCTAGAATAACAAATGCCCATTACAGCAGGCCTGATGTCTACAGCTGAAGCAGAGCCAGCTCCCTCCAGTGATCGGGTGGGCCACGATGAGGAAGTCAAGCCAATGAAAAGATCAATCCCAACTGGAAACACGTGAGCCCTACAACCAGATAGGCCACTTGCCAAATGTACCAGGTATCTAGTGGGGCTGTTCCCCAGATGTTTCTTCTTCCTAAGATTTCCCCTGTTCTTTCCTCTCCAGGTCCACCTCTTGTTCGAACCCTAAAGGATAGTACCAGCTATGTCATATGACCCACTTAGCAGATATTTTGAGCTGCTTCCAAAATGGAACTCACCCTCAACGGGTGAAAATCAATCTTGCATGTCTGACTGCTGATCACTCGGGCAGAAGACTAGTGTCTAGAAAAAGTGTCCTCACTGGTGTGACCATGATAAATTGAGGTTCCATAGGTTTCATTCTTAGAAGGAGGTCACATTCAAGAAGCAAAGATAAGGAGCCAAGAGTAAACTGAAAGCCTTGAATTCCGTATTAGACTTGAATTTCTTGGCAACTGTGAAGATCATCAAACTACTCAGTCTATGAACGCTTATTAATCCTGTCCTATGCATTCTGCCAAATCTGTCAACCATTCCAGCCCTCTTTTCTCCCAAGCCTTTTAAAAGAAGGCCTTCAACCCTGATTATTCCTGAGGATGCTCTTTGCTATGGATAGTGTGAGGAGTTCCTCTTGGGTATCCGGTGGTTCTCAAGCATTACCATGCATCAGAATCACCTGAGGGGTTGTTAAAACACGGATTGCTGGACTCAAATTTTCTGATCCAGAAGGTCTGAGGTAGGGCCTGCCTAATAATTTCCATTTCTAAAAAGTTCTCAGGTGCTGCTGCTGCGGCGGCTGCTTTGGTCTGGAGACAATACTTTAGGAACCACTGTTCCGGACATTCTACTGAGGACACTGAGTAGACATCACAGTGCCTTTTTGTGAAACTTAGGCCTGGACAATGATTAACTTACTAAGAGGGGGAGGACAAGCACAGGCATCAGCAGCATAAGCTTTAATTGACTTTTCTTCCCAGGCCACTCTAATAAACATGCATTGGTGCTGGCCCACCCAGCTCTGGTCTGGTCCTTTTTTGAGCATTTCTCATGTTTCCTATGGAAATTGCCTGGCTTCTAAGATTCTGTTGCCTTCCAGATCACATTTGGAGCATCCAAATGCTTAGGGCGCCCAGTCTCAGCAGGTGAAGCTGGATGAAGCCCATTCAGGAAGGCTAGACACTGACCTCTCACTGTTCAAATAACCCCAGCTTTCAAAGAAACTGAGTGCCCATTCCAAAGCAGAAGCAAAGGCAAACCGAAAAAATATGGAGTCAACTACACATACTTAGGGATGCTAGAAGACTTGTACAAAACCATCATTTACATCTATTCCAACTCATATAGACTTTCACATGGAGACTGGGGAGTGAAGTCCCACCAACTCAATGGAAAGGATCTTTGTTGTGGCCCTCTGGGCTTTCTCTCAGGCCACCCCTCTCAGTCATTGTCTCCTATTCCCTTTCCAGACAGTCCCTACCCCCAGTTTATTCTATTCTCTTTACTTGTTTTCTTTACCCTGGGTTCCCTCTCTCTGCCCTTGATCTGGATTTAGGCATGGCTTGGTGCTCAATGTTTTTCTTGAGATGATACCCTTTTGGTGTGCCTGTCCTTTGGGTTTCCCTGACACTTGGGAGTCATCTGTGGTTTTCTTCTCAACCTTCTTCCTTTTAGACATTCTCTCCAGGGACAAAAGCACTCATTCGTATTCATTAACCATGACTTCAGTTGATAATCCCGACCCTTCATCTCCAAGCACAATCTATTGGCATAGGTGGGGGTTTGTACAAGAAGTACCATGGAGAGAACTGAGTGAACTTCAGGTCCAGCACCACAGACAGTTCCAAGACACTACACATACTTGAGAGTCAAATCTTTGTGTGGCCAATTTATCTGACTTGAACAAACACAGATCTAGGATTTATAGGGTCTGAAACATATATAATTTGGGGGAGGGTTGGGTCATCTTTAATAAAAAAAATGCAAAGATTTAAATTCAAACTTAGATATAAACATTTTTCCTTTTAGAATGAGAGAAGTTGACAACTATCACAAATATTTCAAAATCCAAAAAAAATTATATAATATTTGTATTAATTACTCTATGACACTTTTGTCTATTTTTTGGTCCATTTGCTCTTTGATTATATCTTTACTGGATAACAATTTTTCTGTCATTCTCCATACAGATAACTGAAATATAATTCAGTCACATGATTCATCAAAATACATGTTTTATTACTGATGACTTGGACTCATTACCAATGAGAAAAGAATCCCCCACTTAAACTTTTACATGTCTGATGATTGGAAGATTATTTTTTCCAGACAAATGCCTAGCTCCATATATGTCAAACTTTGTTTCTTCACAACTAATCACAATGCCAGACATCTTCATATTATGCTGTGATCTCTAGTCCTCTGTTTTTATATGTAATGTTCAATGAAATATAAGAGAATTCCTAGATGACTTAGTAATAATCTAATTACATAATGAAGCAACAGCACACTACTTAGTTGTAACCCGAACTGAATGTATCTTTAACTTGACTTCCTTTAGCAAGATCCCCAAAGTGCTCATGGTCAGTTTACCAGTCCCCAACATGTGAGATGGTGTCAGGTTTTCAGTCTCTTGTGACATAGAGTATCTTGACTGTTAGAGGAACTTGATAATAGCTGGAGGAAGGATTTGGTAAACTTTTTCAAGAGAATTGCTCTTAAAAAAATAAATAAATAATAAATAAATAAATAAATAAATAAATAAGAATTGCTCTTGAGCCTGAGTATTAATGAACAAATACCCAAGAAGACAGAAAAAAAAAAACCCCAAAACTTTAGAAGCAGAGAAAGTAGTATTATCAAAGACTTCTTCACTTTCTTCTGAAAAGCTTCCTATGATTCCAAATCCAGTTAAATGCTTCTCTGATATTTTCTCATTTTCTCAATTTTGTTCTGAAGTCACACTGAGTTTGAACACTCATGCAAGAAATATTAATGGCACATCTATTAAGTTCTATGTGCTTTAAATGCCTGGGATAAAACCATGAGTGAAGGAAAAGATTTTTTTTCTTGCAGGGAATATATTCTAATCAAGAAAGCAGAAATTATATAGGCAAATGAATAATAAAATATATAAAACCAAACAGGGTAGTGGGGTAGAGATTTTAACACGGTGCTCCAGACAGGCCTCTCAAGAAGGTGACACTTGAGTTGAAACCTAAAAGACAAGGATATGGTCATTGAAAGATCAAAAGAGTAATGATCTGAAAAGTGCAAAGATCCTGAGGATAGGCACAGATTTAGTGGTATTTCTAGAAACTGAAAAAAGACCAGTGTGGATGAAATATCTGGTCAACAAGGCTGGTAAGCAAACTTCAATATCAAATATATAGAAATTCTGGATGAATTGATATATATATATATAATATAAAAATACATTATATATATATTGCATTAGAAGAAGTAATGCAAGAAAGGGAAATCTCCAGGTGATGGAAATAGGGAGAAATTTAAAAAACAAAACAATGAGTGCAGTAAGTCATGGGGAGGGTCATGATGTTTGAGAGGCAGGCAGTGACCAGGTTAAGTAGCATCTTGTAGGCCATGATAAAAAATTTGGAATATTTCTCAAGTTCAGTGGAAAGTCTTGGGAGAGTTTTAAGCTGGAGAGTTAGGTCATGCAATTTGTATGTTCAAATCACTCTGGCTACCTTGTAGAGAATGGACTGTAGGCTCATCTGGAGACTGCTGCTACTGTCCAGATGGGAAGGATGATCATCTAGCTTGGAGTGGAGGTGTAGCAGTGGACATGGTGAGATATGACTGGGGGCGTATAGAGGTCAAACCAACGGGAGTTGCTCTTGGGTTGGGCATGATAAGGGAAGATGATGATCAGGTTCTTGGGTTGAGCAATGGCTGGGGCGGGGT